AGCCTGCTCTTTAAATCACATCTGACTTTTGATTATTGATCACAAGAAGCTTAAATGATTGAAGTGATAGTTGCTTCAGTGACCTTTCTTCTGTGCCTTTTGGCAGGTGAAAATGACAAGAGTGGTGACATTTCCAGTTGGCAAAGCTGTGTCTGGAGGAGGTGGTGATGCAGGCACCTCTCTGAATCAGTTGCAAGTTCCCAAGCTGGGCTGGAAGCTAAGCTCTTCCTTTGTGTTTCCACTATTGTCCTCCTTGGGAAGTCTTTGTGGATGTAGCAATAATTGGAATATTGAGACTCGAAAAATAATCTAAGCATTCACCAAAATAAGTGGGTTATTCAGACAGAGAGTTGGTATAAAAGCATCAGAGCTGCAAAGAAGGGTATGTTCAAGTTCCCTGGAGTTAAGCACTCGTGTAACCAGGGCTCTCTGTCCCTGAGCTTTGGGGTGATGGAAAGTAATGGGAAGGTAATACATGGCATAGCAACCTTTCTGATGCTTGATTATCAAAACAGTTAAAATAGTGGGGTAGTTTGTATGACAGCATGGGAGATGATCCTGAAATGAGAAAGAAAAGCTCATTGTACATATTTTGAGTGCCTTATCTTGGTGTCTGAAGGACTGGCTAGGTGTTAGATTTTTTGAACTTTCTTAACAGAAAGCTTTTGCTGAAAAGAAGTTTTTTCCACAATTCTTTTCCCCTAAGTGCACTTTGCCCCTTTGTTCCTTGAGCCTTGATGACCTTGCTAGAGGGGCAGCTTGTCAGCCTGTTCTGCAGGAAGCTGCACTGTCCTTTTGGTGGGATTTATTTTGTGTCAGGGTGGTCCTGGAAGTGGCTTTGCCTGAGACTGGAGTGCAGGAGCAGGCCCGGGTGGGTAAAGTGGTGGGAACATGCGAGGGGCAGTGCAGAGAGGAGAGGTGTGGCATGGAGCCCTGCCCTTCAGTGGCAGGTGGCCAGGACAGCAGCTTAGCTGGTGCTCTCTATTGAATGCTTTTGTCATACTGTAATGATCTGATCTGCTGTAGATTTTCTTCTGATTGCTTGTGGAGGAAAAGAGAGTCTTTCGTCTTTTGGATGAAGAAGTTGACTGTTGAGTCATGGGAATTATAATTTAAAGAACTAGAGGTTGACCACAGTTATAGGTGGAAAATTGCAAGGTCTTTGTAATGGTATGGAAAACTTTCTCTGGACTTCATGAGAGCTGAAACAGTAAATAGAGTTGAGGTCAGGAAGGAGTGTTGGTCAGGGTTTCTGTGAGCGGGGGAGGGAATTTTTACCTCATCCCTCCATCCCTTCTGGACATCCTTGAGGGACTGCTGTGTAACAAGCTGCATTTATTGTCTGACCTATAACTTGGCTGTTGGCAGTGCCTTTGATCTTTTCTGCTTCCTCCTGGTGTTGCATGATGTAATTTTTATAGCTTTTGGGTTTTGCATCTGCAGTGTATTACAGGCTGCTTTGGAGCAAACTTTATTCATTTAGTAGATCATGTTGTCAGCTACTGGGCGGGCTGGCCTTAATGACCCACTTGATGGAAACCAGAGAGCACTTTCCTTGAACTTGTTCCTCCCACATTCAGCTGAATCTGTGAAATTCAAACCCCTTTTGCCTACTTGTGGTAAAGTCTGTAAAATTTGGCTGTCTTTGACCATGGCAAACATTGCTGACATAGTGCTGCAGAATAATTACTGGTTTTGTAACAACGGATCTTGCAGAGTTGCCTTGCCAGCCTTAGACTTCACCTTTTTTGTTGCAAAGGAGACCATGAGCAATTTTATTAGGGTGTTGCAGAAGTATGTAGTGTAGCATGATGCTTGTCCTTTGACAGGTTGTTGCTTGTAAAGTGTTCATGTGTACATGCACAGGCATTTGCATAATAAAGCATTACTTTTGAAACAGAGGTATTTCAGAAATGCATCATCCACTATTTATGGAGAAAAAACTGAAAAATATTGCTGTGGTGACCTAAAATGTACCTCATTTGTAAAGGGGGGAAATATAAATTATTGGGTATTCCTGCAGTATTATAAGTGTTAATGAACCTTAATGTGAATTAAATGCTTGGACTCCTCTGGGTTGACAGATGTGAAACTATTAGAGTTGGTCCTCATAGGTAGAATGGTAAATCTGACAGGAGAATTAATTAGTTTTTCTTTCTTTTTTACATTTTATGACATGCTAGTAAACCCTGCAGCTTTTGAAAAGAAAAGTAGAATGTGAAGGAAAGTTTTGAAGCTAATAAAGTAGTGTAGGCAGATTTTCCGACTCACTTCTACTTGAAGTAATTGTGTGTGTGTGAGGGGAGAGTATGATGAACAATAAAAAATGAGTATTATAATTTGAGGGAGCTAGATTTTAGAAACAGAAATATTTAGAGGGTATTGCTGCTAACTTTCTAGTCTTAGAAATTTTAACTTCTTTCATATTTCTAGACGTCTAGGCAATGTTCTTATTTTTTTCTTTTTTCTTTTTTTCCCCTTCTTTCTTTTTATTTAATCTTGCATAGATATGTTGTTAAGAATCTTCTGTATTTTGTGTCCTTATTTAGGAGACACAGACTTCCATCTGATGCTTTTGTTTCTGTCTTTCTCTTTTTAACAGCCCAGTGGTCAATCTGCCACTACACATTCATCTTGCCCAATCCTGTTTAGTTTAGTATTCAGGAGACAGCAATCTGTAGTCTGATGGTGATTTCTAGTCAATCTGTGTTCCAAATGAGCATTTGTGTACTTCAGCCAAAACGATGATCCGCCTCTTTCATTAGAATGATGTATTTCAGTTATTAAATACTTGCCTTCATTTATTGTGTTTATTTTTAGATCTAATAAAAAGTATAAAAGCTCAGTTTGTGCCTTACTTTATAACATTACCTCATTTTATTTGTAACTTTGGCAGCATGAAGAAAATAGTAATGTTATTTAAAATATACTTGTTATTATAGGAAATGATAAAAGGCTAAATCTTCCACGACAGGCAGAGAACATCTACAATGAAGAAATGTTTACAGGCTGATCTTGAGTGGCCTTTATTGTGGCATTTATGGATTTATGGACTGGAGAACTGCAAAAAGGGTGGAAGGGAGCTGTTGACTCCAGCTGCAGTTCTTTCTCAACCAAAAGTGAAATGGAATATGTAGGAAAAGCCTGCCTATTTTTTTCCCATCTACATCTTGGCAACTTGTTTCGTGTTGCTTGTGGAGCGAACAAGCTTGGAATCAGGGGTTTTTTTTTCCCATCTAGAACTACATGCAGTTTCTCTTTATCTCCAGTGTTTCATCTCTGTCCAGTTATAAGCTCAAGTTTGGAGTCTGTGGCTTGTAGACATTTTGTGAGTTGCAAAGCTGAGGTTATTTTCCTTTACTTTTCAAAAAATGTGTCATATTTAGTTACTTTGTTTTAGTCAGATGAATATGTTTTTAAGACGAAAGAGCCATCATTGTTTACATGGACTAGAAGAGAATATGTCAGTCTGATGTATTTCTGCATCAGTTGTCAACGGTCTTGTCCCAGATGTCGTAGGGTGGCCAGGGTTACCTCTCTGTATGATGGAGAGGTGGCAGGAAACACACCTGCATGTTTTGGATTGCTGGGTGGTTTTAGTGATGCTGTGTTGTACTTAACATGTTTCACTCTCACTGCATTGTAGTCCTGCTCATTCTTTTGTTACTTTGTTTACTTGTAAACTAGAAAATGTTTTGATGTTGGAGCAGATGTCTGAATGCGTTCTTAACTCTTTCTTTATGCCTGCCTTTTGAATTTTAAGAGGTAGCATTCACCTTTGTAGACTGTAGCTTCATTCTAAAGATGGAAGTCTCAGTCTTGACCTCTTTTTTCAAGCTGATTTACACTATTTTTTGTTTGTTTTACAATATTCCCTTGTTTAAAATCAAGAAGTCTGGGTAGCAGCCTTGCTTTGCTTGTATTTAATTGCATTAGAAAGTTTATCACATGGATAAACTGCTAAGAAAGTAGGCAGTGAAAAGTTTAAAAGGGTGTTTTGTTTGGGCACAGATAAGAAGTGGGCTTTTTTTTTTTTTAGTTCATTGTGTTGTTCCACTTTGAAAAACACAGCAGCAATCCTGTCTTGTGAGTTAGCACTTAAAAAAAATCCCCTTTTAGTCTTATTTTTTTAGCATGTATTTCTGTTCTTTTGAACCCTTATAGTGTATTTGTCATCTTCCTGCAAACATTGTTTTCTGTCAGGACGAAAGCTGCAGATTTTCTTCTTGGCTGTATCAAAAAAGAGAAACTGCCCTGTGGTAGCGTGGTTAGTGTCTTGTGCAGTGCCCAGGCTTGGATCTGGAGAATTAATAGCTGGCCAGGAGGAAAAACCTCAACTGTTGTCCAATTTCCTGAGACTTTTTTATTTTTTTGTTTTTAATATTGGTCTTTCTTAAACTTGTATGTGTTCTCTTGGCTTATGTTTGACAACACTTTGTGGTAAAAGTTGGTGTTTTAAGATAAGAATTTCAAACTCTACCTTTAGTTTTTGTTTTGATTTTAGTTATTTTAAAAGAAACCCGTCAAATAAGTAAAAACCCAAAAGCATGTTGAAATTTGCAAGACTTATCTAACACAACATTAGGGCTGTAATAATATAAAATAACTTTCCTCCTGTTTAATCAGGGTAGGGTGATATTTGATATATATAAATAAAGATAAAGAATTTATATATGATAAAGATAAAGAATTTACTAAAGACAAGTTATACTTAAGTAAACTTCCTTCTGAAAATCATGTTTATGCTGAGTGAACTTCAGAGGCTGAAAAAATAATTATTTTATTGATGTGATTTCTAAAAATCCTTTTTAGGATTTGAAACTGTTTGCAGTGATGGTTATTTTTTCAGAAGATGTAGTAAAAGTATTTCTAGTTATATCTCTGTAACTGCAAAGAAGGAACATTCTAAAACCTGAAATGCCTGAAATGCAGTTCTCAACATTGTGTGTGGAAAAGCTACTGAGCTCCACCTGATTATTTTTCTTCTCTGTTCATCTTAGGCCAAAATTAGTTCTGAGAAGAAGGAGAGCTGCAGGCTGCTAAAACGTCTGCAAGGTGAAGATACATGGGTGCCTGCTGATGTGAATGAACATATGGAGCCACTGGAAAAGGTGATGAAATTGTAAATAATTCATTTGGGTTGTTGCCTCTACAGAATGTTTGTATGAACAGGAGACTTGGTGGGCTTTAAGGCAATCTTTAAACACATCCCAATTTCTGATTTCTTTATGCTTTGATATTAGCTTTTTTTAAAGGAAGACATTATCTTTTATTCGCCAGGAGGAAAAAATTCTGTCATTCAATTCCAGCTTTAATTTCTACCAAAAGCAGAAAAGGAAGTGCTACCAGACAATAATAGTCCCATGGGAAGAAGTCTGGAGGATTCAAGGCTTCATAGCAACCTCATTTGTGTTCATTCACAGGAGAAACCTTAATGGAGCCTGTGAATATCACATCCTTTTAATGTGCAGATATTTCAACAATGGAAAGATGTGTATTGATAATGTAGTGATACCTGAAGAAATAGGTTTGACCAAAGTAAATGTAGTATAGTAGGTATTATCTGTTTAGTTGCAGTGAAAAAGATACTGAGAGGGAGAAGAAAAATTGATCATAGATGTGAAGTATGCCCTCCCTGCCCCTACCACTCCAGCCCTTCCCCCATAGAAGAGAGAGAGGGTAGTAAAAATGAAAGGTATTTATGTGTATTTCATCTTTTTTCAGTGAGGTTTGGTAAGTAGGTTTTGATTATTTTTATTGTATATGGATGATTTGGTTTACTGGATCTCATTTACAAACATTTACTTCTAGGAACATTCTGTGCAGAAAAAAAAGAAAAAGGATAAACATTCCAAAAAAGCTAAGAAGGAAAAGAAGAAAAGTAAGAAACAGAAATCTGAAAAGAAGGATGACTTGCTTGATAGTTCTTCCGTAAGTAAAAAATTCTAAAATAGTTCAAATTACAGTCTTAAAACCTGAACCATTTTAGTCCCTGTGTGTATGCATGGTTGGTAAAATTAAGGCTCATTCTTATCATTTTCTGTTGGGAAAAATTGCAACAAAATTTTTCTATTTTCATGTACTGAGTATTTAATCAATTTAAAATAGGCTGTTATGTGAGCTTGTGAATTTTATGGTGTTAAATTCACTCATTAGGATCTAAGGGATTTGTAGCTTTTCAGCAGAGAGAAAATGAAAAGCAAAATCCTCATTCTGATATGGAGAGGAAAAAATTTCATAGATACCCTGTAGTGTGTGATATATGATAGAAAGATGTGTCTAAAATTGGAAATAATTGACTTTGATTTTAAGTATGAATTACCTCTCCCGTTTTCCACAGATGTTCAGCCATGGGAGTTGTACATGGGGCTGAAGGACTTGTACATTTGAATCTCTTTCTTCCATGTAAGGACATGCCTTCACATAGAAGGGCACTCTGGAAAACAGTGCAGAGACTGCATTTGAAATCTGGGTGCTGCCTTCTGGCCACGTTGTGGAAAACATCTTCCTAGCATTTTTGGTACAAGTCAGGTGGCACTGTTAGTTGTAATTTTTAGAGTTGCTTTTATGGAGTGAAGGAACGTCCATTATAATGAGACTTATTTTTCAGAGATAAACAATAGTATCAGTGTGGGAAGTAACCAAAGGCACAAATGTCCCACATTCTCCATGGGAGTCACCAAAACCCTTCAGATCACAGCAGGGACTCCTAGGATGCAACATAGTCCCAGCTGTAACTTCCATCCAAAGTCTTTTACTCCTAAGACAGGCTCATGTGAATAGCAGAGAAACTCTGTTCAATGCAGCCCTGTTGGATTCAAGTAAAAAATCTATGCACACTGTTTGCAAATATAGGTGTAGGAAGTGGGATACAAAATGGCAGGCAATAGCATGTACCATGATTTAGTTGTGCTGTGTAACTGATCTAACTTTTTAAATGTGAAACATACTTAGTAACGCATGTAGATTTTTTAAAATTTTGTTTTTTGTTATGTCATAAACCCAATTGGTTTTAATTTTGTTTTTATTCTGACTGTTTTAGTAGAGTTATGCAAATAAGCTGCCAGTATGAGGTTGTGTTGCATGCTTATGAAGTGAAATATTTTGATCACGATGGAGCAATCTCCTATGGGAATATTAATATTCTGGTTTTATTATCACTATAAATATTAAACTGTATTATGTTAGTAATGCTAATCAGCATTAATTTTGATTATTGATATAAATGCTAAGTATTGCATGTCATCAAGTAGTGTGTTAAGCTATTTTTTTTATTCTTTACATTAAACTCTCTTTTTAGGATTCTTCAGTTGAATGGGTTGAGTCAAATGTGTCACAGTCAGATGACACACAAGAGGCTTGGAAGGTCAACAAGCAGCAAGATACTGCAAAAGAACCTTCCGTGCAGGTGGGCAGGCTCACAGCTACTCCAGAGATAAATTCAGCTTGTGGGACATGCTTAGATTTCTTGGGAGCACTTTTGCAGAGTGTTGAGCAAAACCTGTTTTACAGACCAATGTCTTTGTTTAGCTGGGTGATGCTGCTCTTCATTGATTAGAAGACTCTCTACCTAATAGTTCTGAGTTTTAATAAGGCACTACTCTTAATGTTGCCCAGCTCCAACTCCTATGAGGATTTTTTGAAGCTCTTACAAGTTACTTTGATTTTCTTGAAGACATCATCTTAAAGGTCTTAACTGGACATGTTACTTTTTACTTCACAATTTTGGTGGCTGTTCTTCAATTGAATAAATTGGCAGCTGGCCCTAGGTGACCCTGCTTGAGTGGGGGTTTGGAGCAGATGACCACCAGAGGTCCTGTGGACATCCACATTTGTTGATGCTCATTGCTTGCTGATGTGGACATAGATTTTATGGAATCACTTGGAGATAGATAATTTTTCAGTTCCTTCTCTTTCTTGAAAGAGATTTGAGAAATGTAATGTTGGGGTTTCACCTCTGAAGTTCTCTGGCATGTTGTCTAACATAATTTTTAAATAAGAGACAAAGTGACATATGGCATCTGTTCAGATTGACAACTGAATCTTGAACTCTGTTGAAGATAGGAAGATTCTTCTGCAAGGCCATGTTTCAAAATAGATGTAATCTGGTCATTTTGGTTGCTTCACTAGAATTACAGAATTGCCCAAAACACTCGCCTTTATAGAGTAATTGCTTACCATGTGTATGTCACTGCTTGCTTTTGAGGCTTCAGGTTTTAACCTGTATAAAGGTAGTGGATATATCTAGGCTTTTAATATGATGCTTTTCTTTAGTCTAGTCCTCATTTTTAAAATCTCTTTGATCAGGCTTAGGTTCTGTAAATGCAGTTTTCTAGCTGTTATCATGGGTACAGTTCACAGAATTTAGATGTATAACTGTTAAGTTTGAGGGTGCTGTTAGTGCCTGGATATCTGAGGTGTGAACTATGCTCAGATAATGATTGCAGATTTTGTATACACTAGAAGAGATGTAAGAGATCATGAGATTAGAGCTAGCTAAATGAGATGTACGGTATTTGTTTATTCTAATGATTAGCAGACTAAAAATATTAATGTTTACTAATGTCTTCAATGCCATTGTAAATATGTATTTCATATTACAGGGAGACATGAAACTTGTTTAAATATTAAAAAATTTGAAGATCAGAGTTCTTAAAATCATATTTGCTTTTCATTGAAGTATTTAATATGTGTTTGTAGAACCTATACTGTTTATTGTCAACAACATTTGTCAGCAGCTGCACTGCTTTGGTTTGGCACATAAGCCATGTTTTTGTTGGAATTATGAACACTGATTCTTTGTGTTTATTTTAAAGAGAGAAGAATGGATGAATTTAAACTTCATGTCATTGAAAACAACGTCAGTAGCAGCTGTCAAAGGTGAAAGACACAAAGAAAAAGTATTGGAACGGCAGAAAGCTCAAGAACTTGAGCAGGTAGGAGGAATTAATATCTTAATCTTTTTCTGCCTTTTACTAAATTTTGTGTGATGAATAGAGTAATAAATTGGTTCAAATATGTAAGTCTTTATTGTTATTAAAACTAATGCCTGATGTGATAATGATCTTAATTAAATTGGTCTGTTTGGATGGAAGGCTTCATACATCAGGCTTGTGGAGAAAAGCCTTTTAACTTCTAGGTAAGGAGAAAGCTACTTTTGTTAGAACTAAGTTCTGTTAGTAACAATGACAGACTGTTGGTCTGGCCTTCTCCATGGTATGTGAAAGGGGCACCATTGTTTAGTGTTGTAAAAGCTTCTTTAAGTTCCTGTATTTAAGTGTAGGGTACAGAGGCTTGTTTTCTCCTAAAGAAAGAACTTGGAGCAGTTGTTGTGCCTTTCATGTCTCAGTTGTTGGTGAACACGTGGGTGATTCAGGGTCTGGCTGGAGAAAGGGCTGCTGTCATTGAATTACCTCTTTTTACATGCAGTTGATGGCTCCTTCATTTGTTCATTTACCTTGTTAAATGCTATGTAGTCTGATCTGAAAACATAGTGACGCATCACTAGCTAATATTTCTTTGTCCTCACGTCTCACAGCAGGCTCTTTCTTGCCATTAGGTTTCCCTGTTAGCTGTGTTGTGCTTGGGAACCAGACTGACCTGGATCACTGTTTTTGTGTAGTATGCAGTGCCTTGGTTATTGTCTTTGGACAAGGGATGAATATTTAAAATTTTTTTTCTCTACAATTTTTTTCCTGAACACTATTTCAGGAAGACCATTTAGTGTGGACATCTTAAATTACCGGAATATCAGCATGTATTATATGCTTAATGACAATTTAATGTATGCTTAGTCTTAGAGAATGTTTTTTATAGACTCTCCCACCCAACTACTTGCTGTCCCCTAGGTTTATACTCCTCTGTTTTCTGTGCCTGTGTCTCCTTTTTCTTTGGTACCCAAACAGTGTGTACAACAGATGCTTAGACCGTGAAAGTGGTGATGGTGGTGAATTGTGTGACTTCACATACAAGTCTCTCAAAATGTATAGATCTTCTCTAAAATACAAACCATATGCTATGCAAACATTTGAATTATTTCTGTTTTAGGCTGTGTTGTCTGAGAGAGAACTCAATCCCTATTGGAAAGATGGTGGTACAGGTTTGCCACCAGAGAAGGATGAAGAGGCTTCAGTTAAGAAAGGTTAAGAGCAAATTTTAGTAATAATCTTAAATTTCTGTCTCCAATTTCGGGGCTCTGTGTTGCTAACAAATTACTCCTAATGTTGTTACTCCTGTTGTAACAGGATTATTAATAATATATACATTATTAATAATATAGGTAATAAAGTAAAATTTGGATGAAAATTCCATAGTGAATATTGGGTTAGTATCATAGTATATGTGTTTTGCAGAATTTCTGTTCACTGGGTTTTTATCTTGAGTGGTTTGACCTTCAATATCCTTACCAAATTCACCATTTTGAACTAATTAAAGAAAAGTATGATTTAACCAAGACAAGATAAATTGTTGTCAACTCATTTGGTTCCTTTCATTCCATTGCACAAATTACAGTTTTAAAGAATTCACCCACAGAAGTCTGAGTCACATCAAAATGAAGTACATTACAGATGCAGTTGGTGAAAAATAGCATTTCTGTAGTCTTTTCACTTTTTTCCTTACCCCAGGGCTATCCTGCTCATTTTCAGCAAACACAGTAACAAAAACCTTTTTCATAATGTCATGAAACATTTATTATGTGGTGAGAATGATCCTTGTATTCTGTCAACAGAGAAGAGTGGGATCTGCTTTTTGAGAGCCTTTCCCTGTGAACCATTAACATGAAGGTAATGGTTTCTGGGACAGAAACTTGCAGGTTTTTGTCCCAGAAGCCATTAGCTTCATGCCCACTTTTAGGAGTCACAGAGATCAGAGATCTGTAAGAGTTGGCAGGCATCAGTGAGTGTGTGTTTAGAATGTCAAGACCACTGCTGGCTTTTCACATGGGAAGCAGTGGGTTATTCATTCAGTTTCTGAGAAAGGGAATTCACTTGTTTGTGTGTAAGGGGTATGCCCAAGAATGGACACAGGGTGTGGGAGTGACAGGAAGGTTCTTTAATGTCATAAAGAAACTCTACATCTTCTCATATGTCACTCCTGTATTGGAAACTGCTTGTGATAAACTAGAGAAACTTAAACTAAATGAGTGGTATTGTTGAGGTATAACCAGCATTAACTTATGAAAATATGTATTTGTATATGAATTCTGTTTTTCTTTTGCACTCCTTCAATTTTTACAATAAGTTTAGGTGAAGCTGTAATGTCACATACAGAATAAGGTCAAATAGGAATAATTACTTGAGATAGTAAACTACAGCCTCTTGTTGTTTTCTACTTTAGTTACAGTGGTAGAAGATGCTGGATTAAGTTGGCTGCGAAAATCATACCAAAGGATGAAGGAGCAGGCTGAGAGAGAGAAGCGAAATTTTGATGAAATTGTAGCTGAGAGATACGGGGTAAGGATCTTCGGTTAAATTTTCTTCATATTAATAGATGCTTGGAAAAGATTACTTTTATATGAAGGCACAAGTACTTAATGTATAAAGTAAAACATGTGAAAAGAAGCAAGAAAAAACAGTCTCTGAAGCTTCTCTCAGGTGATAAAGGAGCTACCCAGCCTTTTATATATTTTTCTTGTTAAATGTTTTTAATATATGGGATCTTATAGCACATTTGAAATACTTACACAATATCCCATTGCCTTAAAAGTGGCATGACTTTTTTGTTTTTTCTTTTAGTCAGTGGAGGTATTTCAGTCGCGATTAGAAGAAGCTGAAAAAGCTGCATCCAAAAAGGAAAATTACCATGGAAGTGGAAGATGGAAGACTGACTATTCAAAAAGCGAGAAAGAGAAGAAAGACAAGAAAGAACAGCATATTGAAAAGATGACACGAGATGAAGATGATAGAGACAGGCACACGTCTGGGAGCTATTCCAGGGAGAAGTATGGCAAAGGGTGGGCACAGGAAGACAGGAGTTACAGAAGAGATGTGTCAAGAGCAGATCAGGAATGTGGACACAGTAGCATGGACTCAGTACCAAGGGGCTACAGCTCCAAAGCAGAAAAATACTCCAGTGAAAAACGAAATCAGGAGAGGAGTTCATCTCTAAGCAACTTGAAACACAAATTTTTGAAACCTTCTGAAGATGATTTAACGTCTTACAGTGCATCCAGAGACTCCAAGTTAAAGCAGTTCTCTTCCAAGGAGGACTCAGCTCATAGCTCTTTGAGCAGCCGTTTCCAGAAACCTGGTGAGGATACTGCACTGTGGGCCAAAACACACACAGAAGATAGCAATGAGAAATTAAAATCTGATCAAAAATCATCAGGTACTAGGGAACAAATTGATGGCAAAAGTTGGAAAAGAGCTCCAAGTGATGAAAAAGAGAAGTTACGACAGCAACACACAAGTGATACCCCTGAGAAGAAACAGATTTTATCTGACAGTAAAACATCATCCTCAAGGTATTTTATGAACATCTTTACTTGGTTTTTATTTTCTGTATTTTCATGGCAAAATATAACAAAAGCTCTATCTCCTTTTTGACATGATAAGCACTGATTATATCAGATCTCTTTAGTTTCAAGAGATCTAGCTGCCCTCCAGCTAAGGGCAGCTAGAAGAAGTAAGTTCAGCAGAAGTAGTGAACATCCCCTACCTGATCTGTCTCCTCAGCACATTTGAGAATTGCTAATGATAGACTATTTTCTGCTTCTTTCTAATGTTAGTTCACACTGCAGTAAAATTGGCCTCTTAGGCAGAAAAACCTCCAAAGTATCTTAACGGTCATTGAATTTATAAAAGACAAGCTTGAAATGGTAGAAAATGCTGACTAAAAACTGAGATAATTAATACAGCAGGGATAGGTTTGCCACTCGTGAGATGAGCTCATATGCTAAAATAGTAGCATATGGAAAATAGTAGAAGCTGTTTAATAGAAGGTGTGTTTTCTGTGGTGAGGGGGAAGCATTAATAGGACTGGGAAAGGAAACACAAACTTGACAGGCAGCAGGAATTTAGTTTTCCATGACTTGCTTTTGTGAAAGACAATGGAGAGTAGTAAGGAGAGGTGGTCAGACTCAAAAGTTGTAGAGAACTGACCTTTTGCTCTGCTCGTGGCCTCCTGTTCTCCATTATTAGCAGCTTGCTGGTTCTTCCAATGATCTGACTAGTGTGGTTGTTACTATGAATCTTTTCTTTCAGATTGTTCCAGTAATTCACACGTGCATGCATGTGGATGAAAAGAGATATATAGGGATAGAAGTGTATAAATGTATAAATATATATATATATGTGAATATATAAAAAATGCCTATTAAGAGTTCCTCTTGAGTTCAGTGAAATACTTCAAGTGCATTGGAGCTCATCAGCAAGCAGGAGTTGAACCTCAAGGAATGGAGGGTTTCAGCTTTCTATGACAGTGCTCTAATCTTTGCAAATGGGGGAGTTGGTGAGTTCTGAGAGGGGTCCCACTCAGCTCACTGCTGGCACAGCCCTCTGTGGGCTGGGAGAGCTCAGGGGGCCTCACACAGCCCTGCTGTTGGGGGAGTCACAGTGTGCTGGGCTGCAGTCATCAGGAGATTTACATCCTGGCCACAGTCTGGCTCAGTCACTGGAATTTTGAAAGTTCCAGTAGCAATGGTACAGTTCCACTGAGGCTGTGGTTCAGGTGAGTAATGATCAGAGGCTGCCAGGGGCTGGCTGAGTGCTTCTGCCTTTGTTCCCCACTGTGGCCGGCACCAGGAGTTCTGGGTGCAGACACTGTGCTCCTACCTTAGCCTGGCAAGAGCTCCTGCTGCAGTCAAGAGATACTTCATTGTTCCCCAAAGGCCAAAGCATAATGGAAATTCCTGGGATTGCAGAATGGCCTGAGAAGGAGAGGACTAGGCACAATGTGGAGGAAAATTCACCACCACATTGCTGTGGAAAAAATAAATTCTATCCCATCCAGCCCGACCTAGAAGAACATTGCCTCAGTATTATTTTCTTCGAAGAAGCAGCAGCTACTCCTTCCAGTCGTCTTTTTTTTTTTTTTGGGGAAGGAATGGTGATTCACTTTTTTTAGCCGCAGGTACAAAAACAGTACCTTTTTTTTTAACTGCAACATTTACTAAGTGCAATGGTAATTGTAACTGGACAAAGCTGCAAATTTTGGGAAATGAGATTGTGTGCGGAAATAGTTTACTTGCTCAAGTTCAAAGAATTCAATTATTATGACAAAAAAGATAGTTCTTTTCCTCACAGAAGAGAACTAGATGTAGAACTGTTCAGCTGATATTTTCTTTTGCATGTGTTTTCCATTCTGGTGCTGTTAAACCCAATTGTCCATCTTCTTTGATATTTTAATTGTATTTCTTAGCCAATGCAATTACTAAGCTGACTCATTAGTAAACTGGGGATTACTTAGGCCTGCAGAACTATATAGCCTCTGGTTATTGACATAACTTATTTCCAAGTTCCTCTAAGGCGACTTCTTAACTCCTGAGACTCTGTGTGTTTTGAAATAGTAAATAACCTGTCCTGTTTCCAGCAGTCAGAAGTACTTTTTTTTTGGTATTGTATTTCGTAGAAAATTCTGGCTTTTGGAACGTTTCAGGTTTGGACTTGTGCAGCAGATACCTGTTGAGAGTAATTTATAAGCTGCTGCTTTCTTTTTCTTCTTAAAGTTTCAAGACTTGTAATACATGTACTCTTTTGGTAGTGTTGTCAGTCACAAAAAGTAAATCTTTGAGGTGAAGGCTTGAATTAATAGGTGTTGCTGGTTCAGTTCCTCATCTTTCATGCTGAAAGTACGGATTTTAAATTTTATCTTTTCTAAAGCACAGAGGAAGTCTCTTCAGCCTATAAATCAAAGTGTTTTGGACAGTTATGACACAGGTTAATTAAAAGTGCTGATTGGATGTCCAAGGGATCTCCCCAGAGGAAAAGTCCATCAGCTAGTGTTTGCTGGAAGTCACACTTAATAATGTGACTGCTTCAGAGTTTAATTTGAGACAAGATAAAAAGCAAATCAAAGCAATGTCTCAAGTCTCAGAAAGTTCAGACAGTGATTCAAGCACTAGCACCATTAAAAAAAAGCATATATGAATTAATAAACACCTTTTGTTCCCTTTTCTGAAGTAGTCTGCTTTACTTTGAGGGATACAGCTTAAGGAACAGTGGGAACCTAATCTTTGCATGTTTTGTTTCTGGTGAAATTAAAGTAAATTCTGCTGAATTTTGGGGGTTTGGGTTGGGCATCTTGAAAATGAAAAAAGAAAAAGCAACTCTAGTAATTTTGTCAGGGCTGGAGAGATCTGGTGCTTAAAGAGGACACCATCTTCAAAGATTTCTCCTTCTTCAACTTCTACAGGGTTTAGCCATATCAGTTTGTGAGAGAATTCTGTCTCTAACAGCAGGAACCACTAGCATAACTGTACTCTTATGTATCTTTTGTGTTAGGTATTTTATTTTTAGAGTTAATTGGTTTTAGTCTTTCCTAGGGTCAGAGGACAAGAGCCAGACTTCCTTGATGCTTCTTTGCAGTATTTTTAGGAATCCATACTTAATAAATATAATAAAAATAATAAGTCGAATAAAAATAAAAAGTAAAAAGTGGTATGCTAAGTTTTTAATACTCTTTTTTACCAGCTGTGGCTTCTCTAGAGGGACTTCATATTTTTAAAAGATACCTGTTAATTTTCTATGGCAACTCTTCTGTATCAGCCATAAAATATTCAGATGCAAAGATTGTACTGTGAGCAGATAAATATTGGAAAATAAGTAATCTTCAAGAGGTGGAAGGCCATTTGACAAGCATAATAACTCAGAAATGGGTGATTTTACAGAAGCTGAGAAGTAAAAGCATGACCAAAGCTGGAAAGAAGAATTAGAGTAGGTGAAAATAACACCTTCTTCTCTCTCTTTCCCTTGTTTGTTTTCCTTCTTATACCTGCTCCTGACTCTTGACTGTTTTTTCATACTGGGAGAATGTTCACAGATAGTGCTTTTCATTTGAGTTGTTCTCAAAAGTTAGAGGAAACAAGCCTCAAAAAATTTTGATTCAAGGTCTTTGGTTTTAGAGTCCTTGGCAACTTCAGTCTGTAAATACATTTTTATAATACATTGTTTTCAATTATTTTGCCAGTAGACACATATGTACAAGTACAGTAGGCTTATCATACTGAATTACACAGGTGAATACTGCCCTGTTTTTCTGTGGCTTTAGTGCAGCTGCTGTTTTCCAGATCATCAAAGGATGAGCCACCTCGGGTCCTTAGTGAGGAGGAGATGAACAGACTGGGAGCGAGGATTGTGAAAGCAGAACTGATGGGAGACACGGTAATGGCTCTGAAAAACTGTCATGATTTACTGCAGTTTTTCTTCAAAGCTCACAGCAATTTAATTGTTTGGGTGTGTTTTTTAAAAGGGTACTCATTCAAGCAAATAAAGACTTGTAAAATTTGGTAGAATTTGAAGGTACTGCTATTACAGTAATTTCTGCTTTAAATGCAGTATAGAGGATTCAGGACCCCAGGCTTTTTAGGATAAGCAGCATATCTAAACCAGTTGTTCTCTGCCCTTTTTATAGTCTTTATGAAAAGATATAGTCTATATCTTTTCATAAAAAAAAGGAGCAGGTGAAAACTAAAAAGCTCCCTCCCTGTCTTTGTTATAAGGTAAACAGTGTCTGGAGCTTTGCTTATTTCATCAGCCTTGTCACACATAGGTGCTTGGGGTCCATAGCTCTGCTGTATAAGCAAGCTTATTAATTGTCATGTGGAAATTGTAAAACTGAAAGGAATAGCATATGCCAATGCAGCCAGCTCTGCACTGAGAACAGCTGTGGAATGCTTTGTGGTCCTGCTCTGATTGAGGTTGGTCTATGGAGCTGGGAGAAACAGCTGCATATTTAATGTGTAAACATTTCATTTCAGCCAGCTACCTGAAGGAACAAGATTTTCACTCTTCAGCAACACAAAATTTAGAGGTTTATGTATTTTATGTATTACATTAAATATGGCTATAATGAGTTAATTCCCTTCAGTAGTACTGTCTGGAAGCTTCAGTTATAACAAGGTCAGAGTCTGTTAGTTTTTAAGCTGTGTTTTTCAAGTGTTTGGCTCTGAATAGCTGCTCTTAAGGAACTATTTTCATATTATTTAGAAGGAAATGCTCTCACTGTGGGCTTTTGTATTTATTTTTTAAGATAAATTTTTATTGCACCTGTTTAGTTTGCCTCTTGTGACATTTGCACCAAAATTTGCATCTTTAAGAAATAATAAATAAATATTTATTTATAGTAATATATAAAACATGTTAAGTCTCCAAGTGGTAATTTAATATTTCTCAAGAGCTACTGATTCTTTGATTTGTGGAAAGTTATAGTATGTTTTGTCATTAGTGCTGGATTAGGACATGGTGTTGATCCTTGTTAATGCCCCTATCAGATAATTCAGATAATTCAGATTTTGTTAGAAGCAGTTGTCCATTTTACAAATATTTTCTTTTCCAACCAATTTTATGTTATGAATTCTTTTCTCACAGGCTTTAGACATAGATGTGGGTATGTAGCTTTAAACATTTGAATATCTATACCTTATCTAGAAATCATGTCCATTTTAAATGTTATTATCCTCAAAGGTGAATTAAAAGTTACCTGAAGCAATGTATTTCCTACGAAGGTGCAGTGTTAATGATTTAAATAGATGTGTTCATATGTTAATCTCTAGATTTCTTAATTAATACTAAAAAACATACACTAGTGAGGAAAAATATGTTTATGAAAGTCATTATGATAGGTTTGTGAGGGACTGGTATCAAAGCTGTCTATAAGCCATCTATACACTAACTGCTAAAGTACTGTGGGAGGGGAAGGTTTTCCAAAGACTGATGGAAAGCAGCAAAAATTTGTAAACTTTTTTTTCTGATACTGCTCAGCTTCAGTAGCATTGCCTAAACAAAACTTTGGGCACAAATCTGTCTTCTTCTTTTCAACCTGATGGGAACTGAATGCAAGTGATTTGATGAAAAATATACACATATTCTGTGGGGACAGTGTAATTCCTTTTTTTTTTTGTTTTGATCCAAATCATGTGGCAGAAACCAGTATGACAATTTACTATTTTTATAGATACAATTTTCTATATATGCACTCCAAATCAACCTAGTTAAAAAAAACCCTAAAACCAAACAACAACAATTTAAATAATAAAATAGGTAATATAATATATATAATATATAATAGTCTTGTGGCATTTTAAATATTTTTCATGGTCTTTCTCTAATCAGATTGAAAATGCAGCTTGTTTAAGCAAGTTCATCCCCGCACACCAGAACAGATGGTTATGTAACAGCATGTCCTGGTGGCTGGAGCTCAGGGTTGGCCATGTGGGCCAAATGAATTCTGAATCTATTTTTGTTACTGGTTTTCTGCCTGGTGTTGATCAAATGACTTAATTTTGGGTGGCAAGTATGGACATGATTGTTGGAGTCCAGTCACTGTAAGTGGCAGAGGGGTTAGAGTGTAAATAGTTTTATTCTTTACAGGTTGATAGGCTGGCAATTCCTAGCAATCCAAGATATTCTAGAATACTTCTATTTAGTTAATAATCAGATGGTTAAGGGAGCACAGGAGCATCAAAACCAATTTGCACAAGACTGTAAACTGTTCTTATTTTCTACCTCTTGTACATTTTATTCTCAAGATAAGGTCTGAAGTGCAGATGTTGGACATGGAGTGTAGAGAGCTGTGAAACTTCATAGCAAAAATTTCTGAGAGCTATTTCCTTAGACCCATAAAGCTGATGTGTGTGTGTAAAGGTGTGTATGTATGTGTGTGTACAAGAAAAAAAAAGCATATGATGTGTTCAAGCTTCCTTATTCATCTTCTTATACATAAAGTAATACCTATGCTTAGTTATGCAAAGCATTTATTAGTAGAACTTAATAATGCTTAAGAATACAGTTTCTGGTCTTTTTATGGCAATGCTTGTTCCTATACTTCAGATGCCTCTATTCTGATCATTTTTTCATGCTATATCCTATAAAGAGTTGTGTGAATTATATTGACATTTTCTTTACTATTTTGTGTTAATAGAGTTTAAAATGTTATATCAAAACACAAAAACATGAAATGAATAGTTCATTTTGATCTAAAAATATGAAAAAAAAAATTAGATAAACTAATGGAGTGCTATCACTTTTATTGAAGGATTTAGCTTCAGAACTTCAAGCAAAACTTGACAGTGCTCGCAAGTTGAGAGAGACTCAGGGACAGATTCCAGCAAAGGCTGGCAGAGAGGTAAGTGGGAAAATATTTTCTTTTCTTTGCACTAATGTTATATGTATGATACAGGTAGCAGCTGAATTAGAGAACATCAGATGTACTCAGGAACATTAGAAAGTGTGACTGAGGTGACTGTCCAAATGGAATTGTACTTTTTGGTGGTAAACAAAACTTTGTCCATGGTGCTTCAGCAAATTCAATTTTTTTTTCTCATAATATTTCCTCAGCAAGGATATATATCTTCCATTAAAAATGAAACTGATATGTGCTGGCTGCTACATGACTGCTGTCTCTGAAGAAGCTGGCACTTCAAATGTTATTCCTTCTGAGGGGTGGTATTTAAGAAATGTAAGAAGGCTTTTCTGTACCAACATTGATATAAGAAAACAGGGCTAATACCTTAAGTTATGAGTTATCTTTCCTCATGTTGGAGAGGAAATTTTCAGACAAAAACTCATGTTCTTGTTCAATTTTACCCCAGTTCCACAGTAAACACTCAGGGGCTAGTGAGTTGAATTTAAAAGCCACTAAATTTTTTTTGTCCTAAAAGGCTTCATGTGCGACCTCATACACCTCCTAGTATTTGTCCAGTCTTTAGAAGACAAATTAAACTGAATTACAATGTGTGATCTCTGCCTGACTACCTTGTGATGATAGTATTTAAGTCTCACACCTGAATTCACAACAATTCAAAATTACAAAAGCTCTGTGTAGGTAGATTCTTCTTCATTGCAGTGCAGTTCTTTGGCATGTTTTTCATATGTGTAAAAAAAACCCTAAATAAAGCAGACTGGAGTTGGGTAATTACACAGGAAAAAATCCACTCAGATGTTAAAATTGGGAAGTAAAGATCATGTTGTAGGTGAGCCTCACAAATGCTGGTGGACACCTATTCCTTAGGTACTGAGTTATGGATAACAATTTTGGTCAGGTCTGGTCTTCAACCATATTCTGATTTTTATCTTAATTTTTAATTAGAGCATTTTTACTACTAACAATCATTGCAAAAATACCAGATGTAAATATTTATGAGTATCCTTGGCCTGTGCCTCTTTCCCGGCTCCTTTTAGTCTGTATTAGGTGGTGTTTGAGTGTCAGAAATCCATCAGAAACTTAAACTTAGAGTTGCTCTGTCCTAAGCCCTGTCGTTGTGATGCCAGGCTATTTTAACTGATTTTACAGCTTTGAATTCAGAAACCATCCCATAGCACAAGGGAAGCTGCTTTGGGAAGGGCTCTTTGGCTCTGCATGACTCTGCCTTCCTGTGGCACTGACCACCCAAGTGCCAGCCTCAGCCACTTCACACAGGTGTGCTCCAGGTGAGGTACCTGAAGCAGTTGCCACAGAAATGGTTTTCCAAACAGATATCCTATTGATCCCAAAGCGTGACAGCTGTGCCTGCATTACCTGTAACAAACATGAAACATTTTGTCTCAGGCAGGTCTGTCTCTGCTTCTGCAGAGCAGCACGGCCAGTGTCATGCTGGGTGGTCCTGAAGTGTGTCTTTGCCTTATTGTAGCTTCTGCTGGGAGAGCTGGGGAGATAAATCAGGAAGCAGTGAAGCCAATTTTGAATGCATCTCCCTAGGAAGTTTTTTTCTTAATTAATTGGACACGGATCAATTTCCCAATTCTGTTCCCTGTGTGACTGAGTGAAGTATTACACTAGTATAAGGGGGTGTATGAATGGCTGGGGTTTGTACAGAGGACAGGATCAATTCTTTTGATAGTGGTGCTGGTTTATTCTGCCATAAAGTGATCAAGAAACTACAGACTGAAGGGACTATAAAGTGTTAGCTTAAATCCTATTATAATTTTATATAATTTTATTTTGTTTATAAGTGGGAGTAGAGGCAAATATAGCTTAGTGACTAGTTTTTTAATTTGTTTGACTTAGACACGAATTCTACCCCAAGCAATCTCAAAAATGTGGTTGTGAAGTACAGTTTTCAAAAACTGTTGTTTAGAGTTTAAAAACATTGTGTTTCTCAGCTGATATACTTCACTAAGTCTCAGCTTGGGTAGAACCCCTCTGTTGTTCACTGCAGGCTGCCTTAAATATGTAACCCTATGAATTTTAGTATGAAAACAGTTAAATAATCTGTTAATGGAATTTGGGGTCTTAATGGGTATTGTAGTTAAATGCTTGAGCCACATTTAGATTGTGCTTGTTTTATCTTTGAGTAGGAGGCAACCTTCAGGGTTATGGAAATCAAAAAACTTTTGATTTCATTTGGGATAGAATGAAATTATGCTTATTTTCAGATGCTTATTGTCTAATTTGTCATGGGCATTTTGAGAAAGCAAAGCTGCACTTTGAGTCCTGGTGAAACTCTGTAAAGAGAAGGCTGCTGTACCATAGGGTGTCTGAGTTGGGATAAGTAATGAAAATGCTACCAATTGAATGTAAGGAGACAGCAGAAAATGGTGGAGACTTCAGCATTTACAAAACAACTTCCATGTGTTCATAGTTTACCACTTAAATACAGTTTGCATTTCTGTTCTGAAAGTGCTACACAACTCTAGATTTTATTACATTGATTATGAGCATGTCACCTCTGCCATTGTCAGTACCAGTCACAACTGATGTAATTTATACTTTTATTCAGTATTTTTATTTAACAAACTGTATCTGGAACAGTGGTACTCCTATGGGAAACATAATTTGCAGTGGGTTTTGCTACTATAAAAATTGGAATGCACAGATTTAAATGAGAAAGAGGCAGAATATAGAATATATCCTTTGGAAGGTGCTTATCATGAACATCTGGTCCAACAACATGGTGGTGGATGAATATAGTATAAGAGTATGCATCTTTTAAAAGTGTTTCCAATCCCAAATGAAGTATGGCTTAGAAGAAAAGCTTCTCAACCTTAAGCTTTTTTCTGTATTCCATAGAACATAATTAGTATGCAGGAAACAGAAAGTAGTTTCTGCTGAGCAAATGCTAGAGACAGTTTTCAGTAATGATGAATTGCATTTGAAAGACAAAAATCAATACAAAATTGAATGAAAGCTGGAAGGTGGTACTTTAAGCAGAATAACATGGTAGGGTATAGTGTCACTGATTATTTAAAAGAAGAGAGTTCTGAAAAATAGAAACAGCTATAGGCTTTTCTGTTATGCATTTGAGAATATGCAGGGAAAATATGAATTATTTAATCACAGAAAATCTTCATTTGAATAACTGAATTTTCTGTGGAAGTCCTTCAGCCTTTGGTCTACTATGAATGTTTTTCTACTGAAGAGTATTCAGTGCTTCTGCGAAGCCTCTTGGGCATAGAAGACATCCATAGAGTAAGACTTGAATTTTGGCAGGCACAGCATTTCACTTTACAGTGGCTGACATGGTGCTGCTTTAAAGGAGGAAACCTTTTCTAGGCTACCTGTTGCATCTGTGAGAGTAACTCCAGGCCATTGCTTGTACATCTCAGGAGGAGAAGATTTATAGTGCAAGGAAAAGTTAATTTGGTGAGTTTTATGGCATAAGTGGGACTCATCTTTTACTGAATATATTTCATAATATTAAGAACTCCATGTACTTCAAGCACTTCTGCTATTTTTATTTCATTATTCTTCTTGAGTATAAATAATAAAGTTGATTATGTTTCCAACACCTCCTGTCTGAACACAAATTTTGATGTATTGACGTTCTGATGTTTAATTTGGATTCCTGAGATTCATTAGACTCCAGACTGAGGGAGAATTCTAGGGAAACTAGCTCACTATAAATAATATTTTTTAAAATTCTTTTTGAAGAACTAACTCTGGTTTTTAGAAAAGAAACTGAATAAAACAGCTTGGCTTAAATCTCAAATCCTACTTGTCTGAAGGGGGCCTACAGAGAAGCCAGAGAGGGACTCTTTGTTAGGAGCTGTAGTGACAGGACAAGGAGTAATGGGTGCAAAGTGAAAGAGATAAAATTTGGGTTAGATATTAGAAAGAATTTTTTTACTGTGAGGGTGGTGAGGCACTGGAACAGGCTGCCCAGTGAGGTTGTGGATGCCTCAGTCCTGCCAGTGTTCCAAGGCCAGGTTGGACAAAGGCTTGAGCAACATGGACTGGTGGGAGGTCCTGCCTGTGGCAGGGGGTTGGGACTAGATGATCTTTAATGTCCCTTCCAAACCCTTCATATTCTCTGATCCTATAAAATTGCATCCATTGCATCCCACTGTGTGTAGTTCTGCCTTAGGAGAGACCGGATGGAACATGCTGGATCTTTACCCAGAGAAATGATTTGCTGCACAGTTACTATCCTGAGACAAGTAAACCATGGGGCACTAGGAGTGAGTAGCTGAGAGGAATCGGATGTAGAACAAACCTGAAATAATGTTCTCTTGGTTTCAGTAACGATAGTGGGGAAAACATGAATGTATGTTTATTTTTCATATGTTTTCAAGATTGACCTGTTCACAAATAGCTTAAAAATAGCAGTAATTCTTTGGAGAAAGAGACAGTTATCTCAAAGTCAGGTGATACGTGTGAACTTGTGTGTATACATGTAAAATTTAGACAGTGATTAGTACTTCAGAGTAGGAAGTGAAAGAAAGAAGGAAAGGAATGCTTCTGAAGTGTGGGGGTTTTTATTTGAAAAGAAACCAAGCCAATGCTAAACAAACACAAAGCAAAAGCCAAATCACCCTGAAAATTAGTGCTCAAAATTGCAGGTGTACCAGGTTGTTAAATTTTAGGTTTGGGAATTGAGACTATAAACACAGATATTTTTCTGCAATGAAAATATTTGGTTGTCAAAATTTACCTGTAATATGTTTTCATAACTTTCATTCTGACTTAACCAATGCAGAATCTAAATACACCTGTAGGATAGACTTACCATATATAAAGAATACTTTAAAAATGATTTTAAATTGCTTGGCATAGAAGTATCACTGAGACACTTGTGCAAAAACTAGAAGGCTGGGGATTAATGATCCTCACTAAATGCACAGTAAAAATCTGAGATTTTATTTGAAACTTCAGATGGTGGGGAGATAAAGCAACAGATGGCTCATGGC